TCAAATCCAGGCATTGCTACCAATGATTTCTCAGTCCAGGTTATTTTCCCCTTTGACAAAAAGATCCTAGCATTCACATGCAAGGCCTTGCTGTATATATCCAAGATAATCTGCCAATCACATGGGAATTGTTTCTAGAGTCCCCTGACATCTCCTACATGTGTTTTTGCCATTTATTATTAGTCTGTTAGCTATCTCTTTTTTCCTTTATCACTCCCCCTCTTCTCAGGACTGTAATATATTAGACATAATCTCTGACAGTATAGAAACAGCACTCTCTCTCTCGCCATCTATCTGCAAACATCTTTGTTTTCAATGATTTTAATGCATACCACAATACGTGGCTTAAGCATTCTAAAGTTACCAGTATTCAGACTTTAAACCTTTCCATTGCTCAATCCTGACTCAAATCATGGATTTTACTACCTGTTTATCTAGCATACCAGAGCAACAAGCTTTTTCTACTTTCTCACTTTGCTCTTGCAACACTGTCCTTTGGAAATTCAAATTATTCTGTAGTTTGAAAAATGTGTAGTAAATGATTAAGTGTTGTAAAAGAAACAGAACTGATTCTACCTCTGACACTTACCAATAAAAAGATGGGAGTCAACCTTTGGATACTTTTCCCTGAGACGCCGCACAAGATCAATAGCTGGGTCTTTATCATCTTGTACACAAAACAACAATTCAATCTGAAATTTAAAGCAAATTCATTTTTTTTAAACATTTTTATATGAAATATTATTACTAATTTTATTCCATCTTGTTTTTTTTTTATTACAACATTTGTGGTTGATACACTTTTCATTCACAAGAGGAAACAATGAAATTGGAAATAAAAGTTGCTTTTGATGAGTTTTCAACTTGTATTTGGCACTGTAGAAGATTGTCTTTACTGGAAGTCACCATAACCAATTTGGCCACAGAAGATTCACACAAAATTATTATGGAAAAACTTGGTTAGAAAATTTTATAAACAGAACTTTTAGCTGTCATCTGTTTTTTTTTTTGTCATCCAAGCAAATTTCAGTATAATTAAATGAAAGGAGTGACTAAAGCAGAAAATAATGTTGTCATTTTCTCCAATTCTGTATGCCAACTACGATTTACATCTGAAAATGTTTTATTAATTTTTAGATGAAACATTCCGATTACCAATAGTGTTTACTAGTTTTAGTACAAACTAGTAATAGTAAAAGTAAACCTGATATGCTTGGTGATAATTTTTATATTGCTAAAATAATTTTGAAAAGGAAGAAAGTTAAAATTACTTTTTAAAACAAAAACAAGTTTGTTTTTTCTTTTTAAACTATCAATTTAACGTCTCCCCTCAAATAAAAAAAAAAAGCATGATTTTACATTCTCGCATTATAAAGAAATTTTATCAATCAGATTAACAAGCAATAACATTTACAGTGTAAGTAAACTTAGATATAATAACAGTGGTAAGAAAAAAAAATGGCTCATCAGGCTAAGAGGTTTTACGTAAATGAAATTTAATAATTTATTAAAAAAAACTTCAAAATCCTGGAAAATGGGGTTTGAGATTTCTCAACTTGGCAGTAATTTTGATATGACAATCCAAATTTTGATCACTGACCTTAGCCCAAATCACTCCAGGTAAGATTGAACTGAAGATCCAAATAGATAATAGTCCTGAGTTATTAACTGATGAAGCTTCTAAGCTCCAGTCAAAACATTCTCCAACAGGATTCTGGTTAAATGTGGATCTCACACATGCATGCACAAAGTGGTTAGGATTTCTTTCAAAACAGCTGCTGTATTTTACATTAAATTTCCAACACTAATCTTATTTATGATGTCTGCAATGGGGTGGATGGGGTTGCACTGAAAATATTAATAAGTCTTAAAGCAACCAATATCTGAAACAGTCCCAGTTTTTCATATAAGAGTGAAAGGATATAAATTATATCACTCTTCATTTGTTAATATTTTCCCAGGAGGTAGTGTGTGTGTGTGTGTGCTCACTACAAAGGAGCACCCTGTTCATTCAAGAATTGATCACTGTTACTACAGGAAGTTGATACAATGTACATGGTTACAATCTGCCTCTGACTGTGCCCAGCCCAAACTTACTTCTTAACCACCCACTTCATTAACTTACATTGAGAATTACTTTAATGAAAATAAAAAAAAAAAAACACAATCCAATGTTCAAAAAAATCAGATGTCCTTTTGTTGACAGCCAAATGTTTTGTTGATAAAGTTTTCTGGCCAAGTTTTTTCATAAGGATTTTATATGAAGAGTATTTAAAATAAATATATATTTTTTGACCCTCAGATTAACTTCAAGTGTATCAAGGTTGAAACTATCCAGGCTCATCTGCCCTGCCAAACCACTTAGGCAAAATAGGTGTGAAGTAGCCAAGGTTGGAAATGTATTAAGTCATTCACTGGTTCAAACCTAACCCTTAATCTGTCTATTCTTGGCTAATTTCATTTATTGTAACTAATTAATATTTTTTAATTAGTTATATTATTACATGCTCATCTTGGTGGTCTATTCATGACTTTGCTTGTACAAATAGCAATAAACAGAATGCTAATTCCTCAGCTCAAAAATTAGTTTTTTTTCTAGGCATCTCCAAGGAAAAGCAATACCTAATTTTTAAAATGCATTAAAAAAATGAAAAATCTTTTTTGAAGCTTTAATTTTAGTTTCAATTCCAAGTTAATAGATTAAATTTAATATTTTCAATAAACAAAATACTTTCCTGTACTTCAAAACAAATTTAAGTTGATTGAAATGAGTTTGTTTTTTGAAATTGCAAAAAAAAAAAAAAAAAATTACTGATTTTAGCCATATTTACAATTCTCTCAGCACAATATAATTCTCTTTATTAAAAAATCTTTGGTGTATTTCAAATCAAATTTGAACTGATTGAAATCTTTTTTCTCCTTATCACTAAAATCTATAAATTTGTCCATATTCCATACTTAGCGAGAAATCATGAAAAATGATATAAATGCTTATTGACATTTGACTAAGCCTGCAGATAAACAGCAATATATATCTACATACTCATAGAATACATATTGTTTGAAAAGGTACCCTTAAAACAAATCAGTGATAAATGCTCTACAAACATCGCTGAGCAGTTACTGACCTAAAAAAAAAAAAAAAAATATGCATACATCTCATAAAATACACCTATTGGATATTTTAGTACACATCATCAGTGATGTTTCTAGCCGAGGTTCATTAGGGGTTTTGGCTCTTTCAACATCATACCCCCTCTCCATGAGTTTTATTACTAATTACATCTGCATTGTCAAGATAAGTTGCTTGGAAATCATTTTCTCTTGAGAGAGTGGAATTAGCTGAGCACATGCTGACAGGTACTTCGAAACAATTAACTTCTGCTTTCCGGGTACTTTTTTTAATCACTTAGGAGCACCTGATGAGTAGTCAAGTAGTCTTGAGTCCTACTACTCTGACAGTAATAATTGTCTTCAAGCAGCCGATATATTTTACTAATATCATATGTACCCAAAATATGAAAGCTTACCGTCACATCACATTGAAACACTGGTTACTATATGATCATTAAAGTTAAGCAATATTAAGCCTGGTCAGTACCTAGATGGGTGACCTCTTGGGAATACCAAGTGCTTTAAGTGTGGATGCATGGGTGGCGTAATGGATAACAGCTCGACAAATTGTTCATTGGAGAGCTGAGTTCCAATTTCCATTAGGTTTGTTATAGTCACTTACAAGCAAATCTCTCTTGGGAAAGGTATGAATCTACCTCTTCTCCCCCAGATATGGGTTAATTAGTAAGACGTTTATCATTAAAATACTATTATCTATATAATAAATAAAATACTGTTATCTATATAAGAAAATATATATACTATAAGAAAAAACATCTTAGAATGAAAAATATTTTCTGGCTTTAAATAACCTGCAAAGGCTTGATAAGCCATAAAAATGAATCAAAATCCCAGGTAGTTAACACCAAAATCCAAACAATATGTTTAACCTTGTTTAAATAATGGTGATATTAGCCATTTCCTTATAAGGAAACATTCAGTATTCATTGACTGAACAGCCAGTACTAATGTCAGTTGAAATTTATAAAATCTTTCTCTTAAAACAATTTTTAAGACAATAGGCTTCTCAAGTCTACTGTTTTCGCTCTTTCTAGTATTGATGGGAGTTTCCTTCCAAACCTTTTGTTGGAAGTAGGGGTGGAAATTCAGCATTCTGATTATGTCATCATTTTCTCTTTGAGTTACTCATACTATCCATTTTATTTGTTGCCATTGTTGAAAAATCCTCAAATGATGTGGTTTCTGTTTTTTGGTACACTTTATGATTTTGTAGCATCAGTCAACAAGGTTGGAAAAAGGCTGGTCCTTGCTAAGACCTTCTGGTTTCATTTGTTTAAAGCCATTTTTAACTGATCTCAAAAAGCTATTATATACAGCTGACAATTTAGATATTTTTGAACAAGTCTGGTGCCAGGCATGACATCCATATAAAAGTCTCGGTGTGACAAGGCTATTAAAGAATATGGCTAAAAGTTTTTAGGTTACTGTTTGGCAGTGTTGGGCAAAACTACCTCAAGTGCAGCCTTTTCTACTTTCAATTTCTTTATCTCTTATACTAAATTTGTCATAACTAATTCATACACCAAGGTATTTGAAGTATTTAGTATTTACTAATTCCACATTCTAAATTTTTATGATGGATTCAGGGTATGTGCCATCACTGCTTTCATCCCAATTCCAGATCATAGTTTCTGTTTTCAAATGGTTTATATTGGTTGGTTGGGTTTTATGGCATATCAACCACTGTAGGTCACTTAATGCCAAATTAAGTTATATATATATATATATATATATATATATTATATATACACGCACACATACATACATACATACATACACATATACCAAATATATAGTACTATTAAACGTATAGCTGGCAACATTACTCCTTCGGAAACGCATAGCTGGCAACATTATTTTCCGAAAACACTATCTGAGGCCTTGCTGTTGGACGTAGTTTATCGCCATACCCAGGATGTGGGTAAGATGTGGAAAAAACTAGGAGTTCACTATTTGCCCATAGCTGGGACCCTAACAGGTGCTACCACCCCGGGTCAGGGTGAACCTGGGAACACCAGCAATTAAGAGGTGGTTCCACGCTCCTCAAAACCTCCTGATCAGAGGCCTTGCTGTTGGATACAGTTTAACGTCATACCCAGGATGGTGGTTTATATTGAATCCGATGGATTTAAGGTAGGTGCCATCACTGCTTTCATCACAATTCCAGATCATAGTTTCTGTTTTAGGAATCTTCATCTCGAGTCTTATTTTGTGGAAAACTTGATAGAGGATATTAATTTTTTTGTTCTAGATCAGTCTTATCCTATCTCTTTACATCTGTGCTTGTATATACATAGGATATAGTCTAGGAAGTTATTAAATAGACTAAGGCTCTCAATTCCCCCTTGCACTCCTGATGAGATTTGAAATGTTTCAGTATTAGGGTCCTAACCAGACATTATGATTTTCTGAACTGATATAGTTCTTGTATCAGATTTAGACATTCAGTCAAGTCAGCATTTGGAAAGTGGTTTCTAACAGATGACAAGGAAGAAAAAAACTATTGATGTAGTCATAAGTTGCTGTAAGGTTGATAAAGCAGATAGACATAGTAGAGGCAAACAGGTTAAAAAGCACAATCCAAAATAAACTTTCATTCAAGGAAAGTTTTGCTATAGGTCATTGAGTTACTACCAGTCAATATTACAACTAAAGGTGATATCTATTGTTAGTAACTAGAGTCTTTAAGCAGTGCTTTGAAGGAAAACCAGCCCAATTTGATTGGTTGTAAAGATGTAGTGTTCTATCATGATAATATTTGGCTTCTGATAGCAGAGATCCCACATGAAAAGATTGAAGTCTTTGACTGGGAAAAACTTCTGCACACCCCTTATTCTCAAGATTGTAGTCCATTTTCCAGAGTTACAGAACCATCTTGATATCATTCTTTATATTATTTTTTCATAGAACCAAAATATTTGGTATTTTCATCCAGATAACACACAAACCTATACAAAAAAAATCACATGTGCAACATTGAAAACTTTGACTAGGGAATAATTCCAAATCTTGGTCCATCTAATGACTACTTATGGAACAGTTTATGGGACCCTTTTCATGGACTTGTTCTTAAAAACACATGAGCTGCTAAGAAGTACATTCTTTGTATTATTTTTTTTCCAAACCAAAATACTTGGTGTTTCATTGAGATAATGGCAGCAAAACAGATTGAACAATGTTTAACATTACCTCCATAAACACCAAAGATGAGTGAGAATTGTAATTCATAACAACTCACACGTGCAAACCACCACCATGAAGCCAGAACCAACTCTTCTCATTGAACACTAGAGCAGGGGTTGACAACCTTTTACTATGTGTTGATTTAGGGTTTTAAAATCACTCAGTGTGCCAAAAGCAGCATATGTATTTTTATACAAGTCAAGGTCAATATACCTGTTCTACAATATATTTTATATAGTAATATACAGTATATATACTTTAGTATATATTAAAATTGAAACAATTAAATATCTTCTTTGTATTGTGGTAGTTATTGGTTTGGGCTTCATAATCTTATTTGCGGCTACATGACATTGGAAAATGCTTGGCGTGGCATATATGCCATAGGTTGCCAGCCCCTGCACTAGATTATCCATCCCAGTGTTTCTCAACATGCATGCCAATGTTGTGATACAAGTGGAAGTCTGATGAAAGGCAGTGTCCCCAGGGTCCTGCTGCAAGTAAACGACTCCCAAGTGTCTGCATTGACACTGCTGGTGGTCACTATTGTTCAAACCTGTGCTGTGGATGCCATGCAGTCTGGCACTGTTGACCATATAAGATATTAATCTTGGTAAGTATCTGTGTTATGTGGTCACTCAGAACCGGGTTTATGAGTCTACGAATATTTGTTTGTTTCCTGTTGCCAGCACCAAAGTACCACTGATGTGTCATCAACATGTAAAGTAGTTCTCATAAATGGCAAGTTCTCCATGGCAAGGCATCTGTTTGCACTGACCTTTCTCATGACATTGAACAGTATACCATCAGGCATCATCATCTAAAGCTCAGATTCATAGCAGTCCAGATGGCCAAAGACTGGAATTTTTTTTCAGAATATCTACTATCCATAGATACTGTCCAGGTTGAATTTGGCAATGTCCTTAAGAATATTATAATTTTATTTTTCAGCAGTGTGTACCAGACACATAAATAGAAAAAGTTGAAGAGATGCTGGTATGAAGTGAGAGAGAGATATAAATGTCATCTGGACTTATTATTATAAAATACCAGATGCTGTTCACTGCCTCTCAAAAAGAATCTTTCCCTTTTTTAATTTCTTTGCACTTCAGAAGTAATCAGATCACTAAAGAAAAAAAGGCATTTGCTATCCTTTAAGTAATAAGAAAATTTTAGAGATATTACTACTACTGATAATAAAACAACAATGTTTGGTTTCACTTGACTTTAATAGCTGTGCTAGTATTAAAGCAAAATATTTTTGAATCATCTTGTGACTGTTTTCAACAGCCGCACGATACAAAACTTTTCAAGCGCAGCCCTATGCAATGATCAGTATTTACATTTTGTTGCCAAAAATAAAATAATGAACTTACAAAGAGACGGGAGTAAGCAGAACATTATAAAAAAAAAACAATGATTCACATATTAACACCAATTCAATAAAAACACACTCAACACTTTGTTCATAGTGACTGAAGCCTGAAAGAAAGTATTTCTTTAAATATTTGAGACTGAAGAAATTTTGTAAAAAGGAAACAACTTTTTAACCTAATTATAATTGACTTCCACACAACAAAGATCAACATTCTCCTAAGTTTGACAAGTTCTCTTATAATCAAACAGGAACTAATGTTTGCATTCTAAATTAGAAAGTAAATTAATTTTATATAAAAATAATTTTATATTTCAAGGAAATGCTTGAGAGACCTGTGTGAGAAAAAAAAATTGAAATTTGAAAATTGTTTACTTGCAAATTTGCTTTATTTTAAGAATACTCTCCAGCTTGGAAGATTGTATTCTGATAATTTACATGAATAAAATGAGAATTAATACAACTTGTGATGAATATCAGTTGCATATTATTTCAGAAATGAAACATTAGGAGTTTAACCCCTTCCCTGCCAATTATTTTTGGAAAAACATTTCGTTTTCAGATAAATTTTTTTTCATTTGTTTTTAATATATTAATAATTAAGAAACTGATGCACCTTGAATTACACGAGCAGTGGCTAACACATTACTAGATATATGAGTTGACAATTAAACTCATTTTAAACTCAGGAGGGCATAAAATGAATCAAGATCGATATATAAACACATCTGGATCTGGTTTTTGAATGTTATGTTCTGAACGTGTTTATTTGTCAGTGTCTGAAAAAGACACTTTCAGTAAAAATGTATATACACGTCTATGCCAAGAAAGGGGTTTAAAGAATTGATGAAAACTGGAAATATAGCTCAAATATTAATTCAAGATTCATAAAAAACAAGCAAAATATTAAAATAATTTATTTTTCATTGATTCTTGTCTTTTTTTTTTTTAATGCAATTAGGTGTGTAAATAAATGACAAGACGGTGTGAGGTGAGGGCACTGTGTTGTGATGTTTCATTTTGAAAAGCCAACTTTAGATAAAATAAATTTTATTGATTGCAATCAATCATTTCTATCTGAATTTATGGAAATGAGGAGTTATCATTATTTACACATGGATCCTTGTCCTCATTTTTGTTGTTATCACAATGTTTCGGCCATGGTGCCCTCTGGCCTTCATCTGGAGAGCACAATGGCTGAAATGTTATGACAACAACCATGATGAGGACGATAGCCTCCATGTAAATAGCAATCAATTTTGTATATAAAAGAGAAAAATACAAGGAAGTGCTTGCACATCACATGACCATATCGGTAAATTCATATTCAAAATGGCTGACAGTTTCCTAACCCCTTCAAATAGCCTTGTGAGGGTGGATGGGGTTCACCATGTCCCTTTTATTTAATATCTATAAATTGTTTGTTGCCATGAATTATTGGTAAAGCTAGTGAAGTAGTTTCCTGTTGACTTCTCCATGGTTTTTGAATCCACAATTTTCCTTCTCTGAAGTGTGTTGCTAAACACAGCTAGAGAGCCCAGTCTGCTCTACTATTTTACTTATAACTTTGTGGAGAAGAGTGGGATTCATTCCTTTTCCAAGGGTTATTCTCTCTCCTTAATGTTTTTTTTTTCATATTCTCACATTCAGTGGCTTTATTGCCTTGCTTGGAATGAAATGATTAAAAAAGAAAAAAAAAAAAAACGTGAGCTCAGCAGTATTGATTGTGATTTGATCTCAGTCTGCCAAGACTATTTTCTGCAATGATAGCATTCACATGTACTGGTTGTGTAATGGTTATCTCTTATCATGAAAACAATGAAATGGACATGATCTCAGAATTTCAAACAAAGGTGAAACTGATTTTTTGTCCTTAGGAGCGACAAGGGTGGTCCAAGAAAAAGAAAAAATGTCCAGAGAACTTCTCATTTCTCACATAAACAAAATGGAGTCAGCTTTACCGTTTCTACTGGACATATTAGTACCCATATGATGGGCAACACTTTACAAATAGTTTATTACACTTTTCATAATGCATAAAAGAAATCATTTTTATAAAGGGATTTTAATTACACTGATCTTTCGCTTTATGCAAACTAAACCTGTCAGAGATGTTCATCTGAAACTGTTCATGAATAGTGAATTTTGAGCAGATTCTGGAAACTTGCCTGTGGATAGCAAATCTGGAAATGACTTTCCAGATTTTCTTCCAGTAGTGGGTCCAGTCCCATCAGAGGTTTGATAACAGACACACCTGGTAATTCGTGTTCCACTGGAGGAACAGTTTGCTGATATAAACACAGCCACCTGAAATAAAGACAAAAAACAATAAGCATCAATAAAAAAAGTCTCAGTTTCTAATAGAAAAGTAGAAAAATGAAGTTTGTCTTTAGAATTCAGTGATGGGGAGATGGAAATATAAGCTGAAGGGTTTATGGTTCTGTAAGCAACAGAGAATGGCTTTCTACATACAGATCCTGAGGATAGCATGGACTGAGCATGTGAGAAATGAGGAAGTTTTAAAGAATATTGGGATTAAAAGGAAATTTTAGAATCAGAACAAAATTTCTAGAACACATTATAAGGATGATGGGCTTGGAAAATTCAACACTCACAGAACAAGAGACAGAAAAATATCAAATAACCTACCTAATGAGGATAAAAAGCAGAACAGGATGAATGGTAAAATGTTGCTTAGAGCTATAAGAAGTTGTGGAGAGCCATGATTGTCATGTCCTTTTTTTTTTGGTACATAAAAGAAATTCAGATTATATTTTAAAAATAAATAAACTTGTTTATATATTAGGTCGAAGAAAATGTTCAAAGTATTAATTTTGTATACTTTTAGGGAAAGCTTAAAAGTATCCTTGAAGTTAATTCAGATATTTAGATAAGCCACTGAAACATATGTTAATGTAGTAGGTGCAAGCATGTTTCAGGAATGGTTTGTGAAGTTTTAAAATGGAAATTGAGAAATAAAGAATATTCTGGAAGAACTGAGATTTTGAAAACAAATGCATTGAAGGAATTTCAAAAAAAAAAAAAACACAAACAAATGATTAATTTAAAAGAAAAATTAAATGTGAATAAGTCAATTGGTTTGCATGACATTGTTCTGGCACAAGGCCATTGTAGTGAGTGCATCCATGAGAATCAAACATACTTCATTAGCAAATGAGATTAGCTAATTGTAAGTCTTTTCCCAGACCAAATTTAGATTAGTTTGACACAAGGGCACAAATGTGAAGGCACCTATAAAAATCTATATCTTGGACGAACTACATTTCTTGGTTCAGCCAGGTCTAGCCTTCATGGCTATGACCCACCATACCACTTACATTGTAGCAAACCCCACCCACATTCCCTCTGTATTCCATCAGTGAGAAGTAAGTTTCACTTGAACAGCTTCTTCCTGCAAACCATTGCTCTGTGGAACAAACTCCCAAGAGGATGTTTCTGCTGATCACTACAATCTTAGCCTGTTCGAGTCTAGAGTTAACCGTTATCTTTCCCGCTTATCCATATAAACTACCTCTTAACATAATCCTCTTCCTTGAGTGACCCCCTGGGCTTTGTACACTGTGAACCTCACTGTAAAAAAAAAAATCTATATGGGATAAGTTGAATATTAACCTGAGTAGATATATTCCTTTTGCTACTTCTTTGGCCAAGTTTTGTAGCACGGACTAAAAAGTCAAATGATTGCTAATTCAGAGTTCTATTCACTGACTGACACTCTTAGATAAAAGTTATTAAATATGAAAAGTAAATGAGTAGACCTCACCTTTTCCAATCCAATACTCTCATCATTATACTGCTATAGACTTAAGGTTAATAATTCTAATAGACAAAATGGGATTGAACAACAGAACTCATGACCTTCAGTTCAAGGTATTGACCATGAGTACACTATTTATAGGAAACTCAGACAGCAAGAGATAACTATTTTTTTTTTTTTTGGATAGGCACTGACAACCTGCAAGGAAGCTGGTCTGAAATGTTGCTAGTGTGTAGCTTGTTAAAGAGTGCATCAATAAATACTTTCGGTGGGGGGGGTATAGAAAGATGCCAATGGGGGTGAAAGGTAGACAGAATAAGGGGGAGAAACAGTGAAACACAACTGGCTAGCTGATCTAAATATGGGATTCACTTTTCAGCAGCTGTACAAAGTAAACAGTGTGGCTTATCCAAACACATTTTTCAAGGGAAAAAAAAAAAGAATATACACAAACAAAGGGACGCAGCTACATCCAAAAGTTGATTTTTTTTTTTTAAATTTGCTCGTAGAGATTTAGCTGTGTATAAGAGAAAGGTCTGGAGGTTTGTGCTTGTAATAAACATAGCATGATTATTACAACAGAATCCACTGAGAGAAAACTTGATTTCAAGTTATGACAACAAGAATTTAACTATGTGCTGTGCCCTTTCAGGACATGGGCAATCATGGCTCTCCCCAATTTCCTGTCCTTTGTAGCTCTTAGTAAATTTTGTCTTTTCACTATCTCTTCTAATTCCTGTTCTGCCAAACATTTACACAAGCACGTTAGGTAGAGATTATGTGCTGCTTTCCTGTCTTTCCTTCAATATATCCTGTGAGTGTTAAATGTTATAAACTCTTTTTTCTTGTTATGCTCCTTAGAAATTTCAATTCTTTCTGAAGTTTCTTTTTTGTTTCCATATTCTTTAAAACTACATCATTGCTCAAATGTTCAGTTTATGGTATTCCCAGCATCCTTCTGTAAAACCACATCTTTATTGACTTAAGTTTCTTCTTCACTTGGGATGAGATAGTCCAGCATTCACTGTCATATAAGAGGACCGATATTACATAACAGTTAAGTATTCTTTTCTTTGTTTCTAATAAAATTTTCCTGTTTCTTAATACTTTGCTTAGCTTCTGGAAGGCATCTTTCACTATCCCAATACACCTTCAGATTTCAGTGTCACATTTTCCATACACTGTTAAAACTCTTCAGAGATATTTAAATTTTTGTACTTGCTTGATTTTGACATTGTCAATTTGTATGTTGAGGCCTTCTTTTTTTTCTGCTTATATAGCAGAAATACCTATGACAATAGTCACCTAATGGTTTCATTAGTACTAGCAATTTTTTAAGGTATTTCCTTTTATCAATATTTCAATCAGTAACCACTCGCCACTAAGTGTTACCATATTTGATAGCATTACAAAATTCTGCTTCTTTCCATTTCAGCAGAAAAAATTGTTTGATAGTACATCAAATGTTACCAGAACTTTATCCACATTCCCTATTTGGTCCAATTCAAACTAAGTTAATTTTATGCATTTATTACAGATAATGAAATATTAATATTTGAAACGGGGATTCACTGCTAAAACAAAGTAGTGGGAGTAGGGGGGGAGTCTTCTATGCCATCAGGCACAATAAACCAAGAAAATTCAAAAAAGTATTTTCCCTAAGGGGATATATACTTATATATAAAGAAAAAAAAGAATGTTAGGAACTTGCTTTTTTATTATTATAATATTCACCCAGTACAAGGCCCAAGAGCCACTGAAGGTAGATGGTTACTGTGTGGTGCATAAGAAAGGGCAAGAGGTGAAGTTCATGGGGTTATGCAAGAAAGATAACAGTTAACTCTATATTTTAAGTGGTTAAGATTGTAGCAAATGGAAATCATCTGCCCAGGAGTGTTCCATAAAGCAACAATTCTTGGGAAGAAGCTGTCCAAATTGAACTTCCTTCTTACTATTGGAATACAAGGGGAATGGGGATGATTCACTCTTGTGGATGTGGCATGGTGGGTCCAGTTGTAAAGCTCAGGGCTGGTAGAATTAAGGAATGTAGCTCATGAGAGCACATGCCATGGAAATAGTGATAGAGTAATGAGAAGCTCCAGATGTTTAGTCTGTGGAAAAGGAGTTGTAGGGTGGAAAATAATTCATCACCCACAAGGCCATTGTTTAAGGACAAATTAATTCGATGTGAGTGAACAGTTGTATTTAAATTGCACAAATAACTTCTATTAGAATTTTTCATAAAAAGTAAACACACTCACATATACAAACTCTTTAAATATCTGGAAGCAATATATTACTTTTTTTGATTTGTGTTTGTTTATTGCAACTTCCAGGTGGTCATATCAATCATTCAGTAAACAGTTTCAAGGACCAAAAATAAAAACTTGGCTTCTTCCTATAAATATTTAACAGATATTGAGAATTACAGTAAGAAAAAAAAAGTTACTGAAATGGTTTTTACAGTCCAATTCTTATTAAAATAATGTAGAAAAAAAAAATTAAAATTTTAAATAGATTATTTTTGTTTTCACATCAAGTGTTATTTTTTTCTTTTCAAAATTTTCAACAATTTGATCTCTTGGCATGTTGAGTTTAGCTTAGTTTATCACATGACCACAGTATTTGGGCACCCAATGCACACTCAATAATCACCAGTAATGGTTAACAAGACTAAGGAGGCATCTAAAATCATCTGGGTCACACTCCTTCCCAGTCTTTTGAACAGGAGTAGAGGTTTATCTCTTGTTTCCGTTTAGGATTTGGTTTCCAGTCACTTCTAAAGTTTACTTCAACTCTATACTTCTTACATCGCCACCTGAACTCTGAAATTTTATTTGCTAATTAAATCTTGACTTCTTCAAGTCTAGAATTAGCTATTATCTTGCCATTTCTAATGCTATTACAACTCCACACAGTAACCCCCTACTTTGAGTGGCCCTTGGGCCTTGTATTGGGTGAACATTGGTAAAAAAAAAAAAAAAAAATCTCCAAGTTCACTTTGAACTATGAAAAAAAGGGCGATATATTTTATACATCTATATAAAAAAAAATTTGTGTTTGACATTTTAACACTTGTAAAATGAAGCTGACTTGTTTGTCTTTCATAATAATATATGAGATTATCAAAAAATTTGCCAAGTGGTGGTGCAAATGAAAATGGATTAGGAAAAATCAAGAAACATTTGTGAATTAATCATTTTATTTTAAAAAAACAAAGTTAATAATTACACAGTAGTCTATCAGGGTGGGGGATATCCTTTCTTCATAGCCTTCAAAAGAGCTACCTTTGTTTAAAACAGTTTTTTTTTTTTTTTTCAGCTCTGATGGAAGAAATGTGACACTTTTTGGCATGAGATTTAATTGGTTGAAATTTCATCACTATGTACTTTAGGCATTTTGTTCCAAAATACAAAATAAGGAAGAATTGACAATTATTCTCTTTCTCCAGAGTCCCACTTGAACATTAGTGAGTTTGGAGGTTTAAACATTTTAGTATATTTGATAAAGAAAACAAAACTGTACATTA